GATCAGAGGAGTACAAAATGATCAGAGGAGTACAAAATGATCAGAGGTGTAGATAGAGTGGACAGCCAGAGACTTTTTCCTAGGGTGGAGGTAGCTATTACGAGGGGGCATAGTTTTAAAGTGAGATATAGGGGATTCGTCAGAGGTAGGTTCTTTACTCGGAGAGTGGTCGGGGCGTGGAGTGCATTGCTGGAGAGGGTAGTGGAGTCGGCCTCATTCGGGGCATTTAAGCGGCTACTAGATAGGCATATGGATGATAGTATAAGGTAAGGGTGGAGGTTAGACAGACCTTAGGATTAGGGTAGAAGTTCGGCACAACATCGTGGGCCGAAGGGCCTGTACTGTGCTATACTGTTCTACGTACTGATTATGTTAAAAACCAAGGTTACAAAGTACTATTACTAGATACAGCAAAATTCATAAATCTTCGCGATATATTTCCAAATCAAGATGGTGAATGGCTTGGAGGGGAACTTGGAGGTGGTGGTGTTTCTATATATCTACTGGCCTTCTAAATCGAAGTGGTCATGGGTTTGGACGCTGTTGCCCAAGGACTATGGCAAATTTCTGCAGTGTTTCTTGGATTCAGTACACATCACTGCTACTGAGTATCGGTGATAGAAAGAGTGGACGTTAGACCAATCAAGCAAGTGTCTTTGTTCTGGATGAAGCTTCTTGAGTATTTTTGGAGCTGCATCTATCCAGGCATGTGGGGAGTATTCAATCACACTGACTTGTACCTTATAGATGATGGGCAGGCACTGGGGAGTCAGGAGGGGAGTTATTCACTGCAGTATTCCTAGCTTCTGAACTGCTCTTGTAGCCACTATAAAATGTACCTTCACAAAATGATCTGGCGATATTCCATAAAATTGTAAAAGAAATTCAAGAATTCCCATCGAAATAGGCAAGCTAAGGGCTCATGGAATTGCAGGTAACACAGGGGCATGTATAAAGAAGTGGTTAATGAATAGAAAACAATGTGGGCATAAGTTATGCACGCTCAAGTTGGTAGGTTGTATATAACAGATTGGCACATGCATCATGGCACCCCAACAATTTATGATGTACATTAATGACTCAGATAACAAGAGGGGTCAGAAGCTAATTTTACTAACGATACAAACCTAGATGAAAAGGTCACAACCTGCACGAGATATAGACTGGTGAAATGAGTGGACAACAACAGCAAAGATGGCGTGTAATGTAGGAAAAATGTGAAGTTACTTGGTTTGGTGTTAAGAACAGTAAAGCAGAATATTCTTACAAAATGTGAAATTTCTGAATATTCGTGTTCAAACGGCAAGGAACTGTATGCAGGTACAGCACATAATTAGGAAGACAAACAGCATGTTTGCCTTTATTGCAAGGGAATTGAAGTACAGGAATAAAGAAGTTGTCCTACAATTGCCCACAGCTTTGGCAAGATCAAATTTTGAATACTATGCAGGTTTGGCTTCCATATTTATGGAAGCATATTCTTGCATTGGAGGCCGTACAGTGAAGGTTCAATAAACTAATCCCTGGGATAAATGGGCTGTCCTATGGTGACAGGCTGAGTATATATTCTGAACTTTAGAAGAATGACAGATCAGCACATTGAAACATAGAAGTTACTGAAGGGGCTTGATAGAGTAGATGCAGAGAGATCACTTCCCAATCATGAAATCTAAAATACAGAGCTTAGCCTCCAGTTAGAGGCTGATCATTTAGTATCAAAATGAGAATGAGATACTTCAGTCAAAGAGCTATGAATGTCTATTCAGAGGGTTGTGGATGCTGCATCTTTGAATATATTTAAGGCTGGGTAGTCAGATTTTTGGTCTCTAAGGGAATCAAAGGATATTTGGAGCTGGCAGGTAAAGCAAGTCGAAGCCCAAGTCAAGTCAGGATTAGGTTGAATTGTGGAGCAGGCCAAACAGGCTATGTTGTCTACTCCTACACCTATTTCTTATGTTGTTGTGAACTCGTCCAATGGTCAGAATTTCATTCCAACTCAAAAGCAGAGAGACAGTAGTCAAGAGTACACCCAAAAAAAAATGGGTGCGATTTAATCAAGGTAAACAATACCTTTCAGAAGCAGAAGACTTGAGGTCTGTCAGCAAATTCCAATACTGAGTTTTTAACCAGAGCAGTGCTATTGACTTTTTTTTTGAAAAATGTCAGGGTACTTTCATCCCAAGATCAAAAGTTTGCAGCGGGCACTTTACCAAAATGCTTTACAAAACTACCCTACAAGAAATGCGAGAGTACATGTACCACTGAATAGAAGTTTTTAAAATAGTTGTACCCATAGCTTTTGTGATGTCAAGGTAAAAGTAGTATGATGTTACAGAAGAATCCAAAGCATTTATTACAACCGATCTCGGATCAGACCTACGAATGCTTACTTTGTCATCTTCTGCTGGAAGATCTTCTCCATCTTGCACACCTGGAATGACTGTACATTTAAGATAACATTTGATCTCCAGTGACATTGCTCACTGGGTCAAAGGACACAAGATAGATTACAGCCACATCATCTAGTGGTGACAGCTTGCAACTACAACATCCAAAAGGATCTGTCTGGAATTCCCTTAATAACTGATTATACAAATATTTTTAATGTGAACACAAAAAATGTGGCCAAAAATCTTAACTGTGAAAATTGTGAAAGAAAATTGAGTACAAGATGATTATTCTAATGTTATTTACAGATTAACTGTATTACCAGTCATATGAACTTTGATACAGATGCAGTGAGTAAAAAGAAATCCTATCCTCAACTTAAATCTCCAAAACCATACAGAATTTGTGGTGCAATACAGGCAAAAACAGCATTGGAAAACAATCCAGCAAAAAAAAAAAAGTAAACATTGAGGAAAAATTCTCAACATTGAGAATTTGTCAAATTGAGAAATAGTAGAATCATTCAACTTCAAACAAAAACCAAGCAGAAATCTTCCAACTGGGAGAAAAGCAAAAAAAATTCCGCTGGAGCGCCGATGGAGAGTCATCCAGACTGAAAACGTTAGCTTGCTGTCTCTCCACAGATGCTGCCTGGCCCGCTGTGATTTTCAGCATCATTTGTTTTCAAAAAAAAAATTCCGATGACCACATGGCTGGAAAAAATTTGAGTATCACTGTTTTTATGAAGTTATGAAACTGGTGAAGATCAAATCACTTCAAAAAGGAGTTAATCTCCTTGGCATCATCCTAGGTGATTTCCAGGGGACAATGCACCTATTCTAAGTGCATTGAAGACAAATGTAGAGGATCGCAATTCAATACAGAGAAACTTTAAGATTAAACAAAGAATAATCCACAGGAAACTCAATAGTGCACAAGGTGATGTCTTTACAGACTTCACAAAGAAAGAAACAAAACTGATGCATTCGTGCATGCAGCAGCTGGTTGAAGCATAGCTCAAGAACCCACCTGCTGGATAAAATGTTCGTATGACTATCTTGGTGAGATGTTTTGGTTTCCACGTGACAATTATCTTTTAGTTCACTGGTTGATGTGTAATTTTTTTTTGCATTTGAAGTGTCAGTACTTTCGACATTACTATAGTCTTGCTTTTTTAGGTGCAGCAAATGTTGTCTTCCTGAATCTGTCATCAGCACATCTCTGAGTACAATTCTGGCTTCCCTGGCAAAGTGCAACACAAACACAAATGTTTACAGAGGAATTAGAGAAAGTAAGTACTACCAAAAAAAAAGTATTTGGAGAAATTTATGATCTTGTCTATCAAAAACAGAGGAGTCACTATTTTACAAAATGTTCAATATTATTAGGTGACGTTCAGCAAAACGATGTACTATGGAACATCTATTGTGGTTTTGCAACATATGAGCCCCCTGCTGTCAAACTTCCTCCCTCTACTGAAGGGAGGTTGAGTTGAATTTCAAAAACATCAGTTCAAAACTCATTTAAAGAAAAAAAAAAAGTGTTTACAAAAAAAACTGAACTTGCGGCTTGCACATTCAGGCCACAAACCTTTGCCGAAATGTTAAAAGGTGGTCCATCAACGTCAACAACATTTAAAGCACATTACTTGCCTGCAATTGGATCGATTACTTTAGCCTCATCCAGATTAAAAGTTGGATACACTCTGTAAATGCCATCAGAAGCATCCAACAATATCTACTCTTGACATGGATTTCACTGCCTCAAAATACTTCTGGTCCTTTCTCATTTACTCAGAGTAACTGGCTCCAATTGAATGCTAGCTTTTGGAAACAATCTTGGCAAGTAAAGCGAACATAACAGAGCAAAGCCTTCTGATTATGACTGGTAGGCTACAGAGCTTATGAAAGCGAATAAAAGGATAGAAATGACATTAGTTCTAAAAGGACAGTCAAGGCAAATGAAAAGATAAATTAATGACATGTAAAAAGCTAAAATAAAATAATAAAGGAGGGCTGAGAGAGTATTATACAACAAGAAATTAGAGGATTACCTCAGTGGACAAGGGCTAGTATTTAGCAACAAAACACAGAGTCAATATTACCATTAACTTCCCGAATAGGCATCAAGCAAATGATCAAATTGAGATCAACTATAATTCAGATAATAAACATATTTTTGGCAGCAAACAGCATAGGAAAAATAGAAAAGTGATACCTTCCAACCATTTCATGGTGAAATTATTTTCTACTAGCATTTAAGCAGACCGATTGAAACAATATTTGACACTATCAATTCAACTTTATAAAACAAATAATAAGTAAATGCTTACAAAACAAAGGGATATGCACTGAATTCAGGACAAACATTTATAAAAAAGGAATATCGATCATATTCTTACTTCAGTTGAACATCATCTCCTTGAAAGTTGTGCTTTGAACCGCATTTCCTCCGTTGACTATAAGCAATCGAGTCTCGATTTCTTGTCTTATTGAAAGTATTATAAGAGAATGGCCAGCGCTTCTGAAAACAGACACAAAATCTAAATGTTTTAAACAAAGTTAAACTGTTATAACAGAAAAACTAGTAACATATATACCCAGGATATTTATTGAAGAGAAGCAATGTTATGTACAGTACCTACTTTCTCTTTCTCCCAGAGAGATGTTAGTACATGGAATTCTGTTCCCTGGGAGTGGTAGACTGCAGGTCATTGAATTTACTCAAGGCAGAGTTTGATAGACAAGGTAGTCAAGGGTTAGAAGAGGCCAAACAGCAAAGTGGGAATGATGTTTACAAATTTTGGATGTTGGCTCAAAAGGACCAAATGGCCTACTGCTGCTCAAAAGTCATTCAGCAGTGAATCTCCTGAATTTTACTTCCGGAACAAAGGCCCAGGTTTCAGTTCATCTTTGTAATCCGGAAGCAGAGGCGGACTGTGTTCTGTGAAGTTCTTTAAATTAAGTAGTGAAACAAGATATAGTCTGATGATTCTGAAGAGTCTGATGATTGTTTAAGAGCACAAGAAAATATAAAGCTAATATAAAGCAAAAATACTACGCACAATAAATTACAATATATTATACTGGTTAGAATTCTTATACACAAGTATTACTCCCACAGACAATGTCTAAAATATTTTTATTCCCCTTTCAACAATACATATTGAGAAACTAATCTGCATTCTAACTGTCTGAAGCCAACACTATTCCCACAGAAATGAGTTACTGTTTCAGGTCTGTGATCTTTCATGATAAAGTCTAATTCACATCTGAAATGATAACCGCGTTTCTGTCTCAAAATACTTCGACCACACCTCCGTATTTCCAGTATATTCTACTCTAATGTCAGATATCCAGCATCTGGAGCATTTTGCTTTTGCATTACCGCCTCCCTAAAAACATGCTTGCTACTAGAAAGCATAACCTGCATGATCGCTGGCCATAAAAGAAATATCAACTTTTGAAAAAGGACTGAAAGCAGCTTCAGGGAAACAAGCATATTGGCACTTATGTCAGCTAAAATGCAACACAAAGAAATGTATCAACACGCTTTAGAAGAAATAATATAAAGACAAGCCATGCGCACAAAATGGTAAACTGTTGACGGAGCGGGAGGGCGGCGGGGGGGGGTAACAAGGTCAGGGTAAGTTACAAATTTTACTACAGAGAAGGAAGCCATTTGATCCATCATGTTTGCGTTGGCTCAAAAAAAAAAAAAAAAAAAACTATATATCCAAACTGCACTTTCTAGCTTTTGGTCCACAGCTCTATAGATTGCAACACTTCAGGTATTTATTCAAATATCTTTTAAGTGTGCTGAGTTTCTGTTTCTGATATCTCCTCAAGTAACGATTTTCAGACCGCCAGCAACACTGACCACCCATCAGAAAATCTGTGTTTCAACTATTGTGTACCATCATAACACCACGCTTAAATGTTATGGAAGTCTCATGGATGCACTAAATTATGCAGCGAACTATGTAAGTAAGCAAGGCTCAAGTTTATTTCTTATATTTTTATGCCAACTTAGTCGGTATCGGCCACGTGATAATGACATAGTGCAGTTGTCCTCAGTCTCGCCGTAGGGAAGAAAAGGGCAGTGGAAGGATAGAAAAATGAAAGCTTCCCTCTCGTAATCACAATGCAATGATTTCAGCTGCAAAACATGTACATGATTATCAAGTTAAAAAACAAGATTGGGTTAATGGCCGTTGGGCTGCTCAAAGGCTCATAAGCAATAGCATAGATACTATATATGGTCACAAAGGATATGACAGCATTGTAGCTACGCTCCTGATTTAGCAACCAATATCCTGGGAGATTATAAATTCAAATTAAATAAATCTGGATTAAGTGCACTGTTATCAGTAATTGTGAGCATGTAACTATCAGGTTGTCAACAAAAACTAATAGCTGTATTAATAACCTTAGGAAAATAAACTATTCATCTTTGGTCTACACAAGTAATTCAAGATCAACAATAACTTGTTGATTTTTACCTCTGAAATGACACCCAGTTGTCACCACCAACTTCAAGAGCATTTACAGTGCACAACAAAATGCTGGCTATGCCAATGTCAGCCATGAAAGAACAAATAAAGCATGAAGATCAGAAACTTAGACAAAGCATATAAATTGAAAAGTCTTTCCAAAATAGGAGTGAAGAAAATTTTTTAAAAAGGTGGAAAAAGAATCCGTTTATGAAATCCTACTTCAACTCACATGCGATGGTTTCAAATTTTCAATTCTTGAATCAGTAAGTCGGGATAGAGGAGACTGAGTCTCCACATTGTCCATCTCAGTGACCTTTTTCTTCTTTGGAATTTTAAATTTGTCCCCAGGCTAGAAACAGAAGAAGATCATTCAAATGTTTAAGTAAAACTTTCAAAAAGAATTAGAATGCCAAGACTCTTCACTAAATTAGTTCAAACTTCAATGTAAAAAAATCCATTATTAATTTGGAATTTAAGAAGCATAGCCATTCCAAATGTCAGTAAAAAAAAAACTACATTCTTTGCAATTCTGTGTAGTTAAGAAATAAAATCATGTAACAGAACAATCTAGATGTGCACATTTAAGGGGTTTGAGTGGGCACCCACACAGGCCAATATTTTACAACATAACAGGCTGGATTCATGAAGCAGTGGAAGTTACCAGCAACCGGAATATAAATTTGACCTTTTATGGTCAGAGTGATGCTCCCTAAAAGTATTAAATTTAGTATACCATTAAAAAACCCAATTACTCTTCATTTGGCAATGTAATTTTGTCAAAGGTTTTTACAGTGAGATATGAATAGTACAATAGAGGTTCTCATCAGTTCAATTAATTCTAATCAAATGATACTGAGGGAACTTCAATGATACATCCTCTAGATTAGCATAGGACTACTGCCAAGCAACTTCTGGATATCTAACTACAGAAAATGCCACTCTGAGATTGACAATAACGATGGCAAATGTTAAAAACATTGCTGCCATAATCATCATAAAATGTGTATATATTAAAGCAATATGTCATTGTATGAGAAATAAATAACCTCAACTATAACAGCCACGAATCAGGCCAGAGAGGGTCACCTCTGCAATTTTAAACTTTGGATCACACTTTACGAAGTAGTTTTCATGAGCGTGTTTACAGGTCTTCACCAAGTAGAAAGTTTGAATTTTACTACATAATTGTAAAAATATAGAACTAAGTTGAGAGAAGAAACAATGGTGACAACATAGCCCATCATCCTATTCCAGGGAGCTGAGAATCAAATCAATATATAGGAGATTCCAACCAGTTTTCCATCGCAACGGGACCAAAAGAAGAATCTATAAAAAGATGGGTAGTGGTGGTAATGGGGTGATCATAGTGGTTGCTATGTCTAACGAGCTTTACAGAAGTGATGTCATTTATTTTGTTTGAGTATGGGAGATACTGACAAAGCAGTTTTATTGCCTATCCAGTTGTCTCTACAGTTAACTATGCAGCTGTGTTTTTACAACAATCCAAAAGCTTTCGTGATCCTTATTTCTACCGATGTTAGCCCCCAACAATCAAATACAATTTCTGAGCTTCAATGACAAGATTTGAACTTGAGTTCAGAGTTACTAGACTTATGGCAAGATTAATAGGTTACTGCTTGCTTTCTCAATATATTGCCTATAATTCTAAAGAAAACCTACTTGATGTGAGTTAACACAACTCAGAACAAAAGCAAAATAATATGAAACATGGGGTAACATGGTCAGAGCTAATGGATGACAAAGAAAAAGAAATGACTAAAGGAAGATTCATTTTTATCTCCTGGCTCTTTACAGAATAGAAAGATAAAGCACTTATGGAGGAATCCTAAACAAAAATCACAAACACTTAAAATTCAACTGCTGTTAAAAAGAACTGCCTACTTTAAAAATAAAATTCAAAGGGGGATATATACTTTAGAAATTGGGAGAAGCAAAAAGAAAAAAATAGCATCGACTTGAATTCCTTAGTTCCTTGACATAAGCACAACAACAAACCGCTTGCATTTATACAGCAGCTTTAACTTGGGTGAAGTGCCACAAGCTACCTCACAGGAGAAAATTAACAAGTCACCAAGCCACATAAGATAAATTAACACACGGCCGAAAACATGCAGGTTTTAGGCAGCAACTCAAAGGGAGGCGGGGACAGTGAGGCAGGGATGCCAAGGGTGGAAATTCCTGAGTCTAGGGCAGTGCTTCACAAACCCTTTCCCACTGAGAGCCACTTCAAGGCTTGAAAATTATTGCAACCCCTTGGTGAGAAGTGGAGAACAGGAGATTTGAGAGCGAAGAGGAGAGTCAACCATTGCCACCTTGATACTCACAACTTTACCTGTGGTCCCAAACCAATTTTAGGGAGCCTGGCTTAGGGTCTAGGCAGATGACAACTGTCAGAGCGGAGGAATTCTTAACAGGATGTGCAAGAGACCAGATGTCTTGGACTGCAGAGAGCACTGAAGGTTGTAGAGATGGAGCCTCAACTTGCAAAGTATCAGAATGTCCCATAAAAACTCTAACATAATAAAGAATATTCGAGAAAAGCAATGAAGGAGGAGCCTGCAAAGCAAGATGACAATGACAGTCTAATTGCAGACTATGTATAAAGTATCGTGTTGACTGAACAGCAAAAAAAAAAAAAAAAAATTGTTGCCAAGAGCACCTGTTGTTACAAGACAATGCAATGTTCAGGATAGGATAGCAGCCCCACAAAGAAATTAAAACTGCAGTCAGTGTTGAAAAAAGGTCAATATTCTCTCATTGATTTCCAAGTGAATTCCTAAGTGATTTCTCCAAAGCGAAGGGGACTAATGCTCAAGAAAATAGGATGCAAGAGATGATATCAGGTTCAAACTGTTGGAGAGTAATCACCAACGAATCAACATATGTAACACATGTCATGTCTACATTTAATTTGGAAATGGCCAGAATGCTGAATAAATCAGAGCAATTAACCAAGCCTCACATTCTAATTCTCTAGAATTTAGAAGGTAAGGGTGACCTCAAAGACTTCAAAATATTAACAGGAGAAGATGGAGTAAATAAAGATAAACTATTTCTACTGGTTGGGGATTCTATAACTACGGGACATATAGTGTGAAAATTAAGGCCTAACCGTTCAAGAGAGCTGTTAGGAAGCACTTCTGCACACAAAGGGCCTTAGGGGTTTAGAACTCTCTTCCACAAATGGCAGTAGATGCAGGATCATTTGTTCATTTTAAATTTGAGATAGATGATTTTTTTTCTTAAGCAAAAGGTATTAGGTGGTACGAGCCAAAGAGGTGAGTAAACATGAAGTTCGGACAGCAATCAGCCACAACTTCATGAAAGGTAGAACAGACTGGAGGGGCTGAATGGCCTACTGCTGCTTCTATGTGCACATATTCACAATATTGAAAAAATACAGAAAGAATAGCTTATTCAATATCCATAGTCATGTGGGAATACAATCTTTCCATGGCTGCACAAGCTTGATACAGGTATCTAGGGAATCTATTAATTGTCAGGATCCTAAATCCTCTCTTCTTTGAAAATGTTTAGCCTATTTCTTTCAAACTGCAGGACATAATTGCTCACAATCTCCAAACTGTAATCAACAAAATTTTTTTTTTTTTTTTTGAAGAACAAAAAATAGTTCCTCTAAAAACGGTATTCCAAGACAGGTGACAGAGTGCAACAGCAAGACAGCATTAGATAACTAACCAAAAAGATGAATAGCATGTCTACATGAGTGATTAATAAAGTTTAGTTAAAAAATATCTAAATACGTTGGACATGCTGAAAACCGAAAACAGCCTGTCCATGAAAACAGATCTCGAAGAAACACTAGAAGACATGTTTCTTCTAAATGGAGAACCGTATTAATATTATTACTGTTTACCTCAATTCACATCCATGAGCTGAAGCACCAAATCTGTGAAAGAAGACCTGCACCTTGTTGCAAATCTTTGCTAAATCAAGGAAGTAAAGCAGCTGCCTCACAGCTCCACTTTTGGCTTAACCAGTGTCAGACAGTCACAATCATACAGGACAGAAACAGACCCTTCAGTCTAACCGGCCAACCATAATTCCAAACTAAACTAGTCCCACCTGCCCGCACTTAGCCCATATTCCTCTGAACAGTTCTTATTTGTATACTTATTCAAATGTCTTTTAAACATAATTGTACCTGCGTCACAAATGGCAGCTTATGATCCTATAGATATGGTCGCTGGTGAAATGGAAAGGGAGAACTTGGTGACCCTATCGGTGTTGTGAAAAGGGGAAGGAAGGGGTGGGGGCAGAAATGGCCAAGGGTTCTATCAATCACAGTGACTGGGAAGCTTTGGTTGAGGAAAAAAAAGTGCACATTCTGGAGGCCAACTTGAAGATAATGGGATCGTCAGAACAGATGTGACGAAGACAGAGCAACTGGAAGAATGGCCTGGAGTCCTTACTAGAAGCAGATGAGAGTTTATAGTCAAGGTAACTATGGGATTCCACAGGCTTGTAACAGATATTGGTGGTTCGTCTATCTCCAGAAATGGAATCAGACATGTCAACAATTTTAGTTGTATGCTTTCAAAAGGTTTTTTTATTAAAACTAATTGAACAAACAAAATATTCAGTGGTTCAAAAAAATACTGATTGCAGATTACCAAACTGTAAATTTACAGTACACAATAATACAAGTAGATTTTAATGTCATTCAGATACAGGTCACTGAAAATAACCATAAAAAAAACTTGTTTCTTCAACTTTTAACTGGAGATTTTTCATGTAAATCCGTTAAAGAGTCCTTTCTTTATCAATCCAGTCTTTTATCCCCTCACTTCTTTCTCTCTGCACCGATTTGACAGTGAATTAACCCTCTCTAATTTACATTTCCTTCTTGGTCCTTGCACTGTTAGTTTCACAACTCTTTAATCCGATTGGCTAAGCCAATATCAGAATTGCTTACTCTGTTCATTCAGGTCACAAAGGCCCCGATTCTATCACTTTGTCATCATCAATTCATACTTAAAGCAAATGTGCCACACAAAAAATAAATAATCTGAACCTGGAAGGGCAAGCCTAACTAAGGAACCTACTCCATCAAATTAGGGACCAGTCATAACAATGAGGGTATTATTGAGGGTGGTAATCAGAAATTGAGACAACTAAAGAAACAGGGTAAAGTTTCTATAGCGTATAGTACAGACAATTCATTCAAAATTAAAGTTCTAACAGATCCTCTGATGGGACAGCTACAAACAGCTAATTTTTTTTTTAGAAAAAGAAAGATTTTAAAAAATGAAGTTTGCTTCAGAACTTGAGAAGAGAACTGTTTTGAAAAGACACTGGTTTTCAACCTCTGGGTACAGATGCAATGGTCCCACTTCTAGCAGCACAATCAATCAGGGAGCTGATAATGCAATGACGTAAGAGACACAACCAAAATGTAAGAGTGATCTATATAGGCTTCAGTAAGGCTTTCGACAAGGTTCTGCATGGTAAACTGGTTAGCAAGGTTAGATCACATGGAATACAGGAAGAGCTAGCCATTTGGAATCAGAACTGGCTTGAAGATAGGAGACAGAGGATGCTTTTCAGACTAGAGGCCTGTGACCAGCAGTGTTCCACATCGGCCAGTGCTGATCTGGATGTGAACATAAGAGGTATGATTAGGAAGTTTGCAGATGACACCAAGATTATTGGTGTAGTGGACAGCCAAGTAAGTTACAACTGGACCTTGATCAGATAGGCTGGTGAGCTGAGGAGTGGCAAATGGACTTTAATTTAGATAAATGGGAGGTGCTGCATTTTGGAAAGGCAAATCAGGGCAGAACTTATACACTTAATGGTAAGGTCCTGGGGAATGTTCCTGAACAAACAGACCTTGGAGTGCTAGTTCATAGTTCCCTGAAAGTAGAGTCACGGATAGACAGGATAGTGAAGAAGGCATTTAGTATGCTTGCCTTTAATTGGTCAGTGCATTGACTATAGGCGTTGGAGGTCATGTTGCGGCTGTACAGGACATTGGTTAGGCCACTTGTGTAATACTGCACTCAATTCTGGTCTCCCTGCTGTATGAAGGATGTTGTGAAACTTGAAAAAGGGTTCAGAAAAGATTTACAAGGATGCTGCCACAGTTGGAGGGTTTGAGCTAAAGGGAGAGGCTGAATAGGGGCTATTTTCCCTACAGCCTTAGAGGCAGAGGGGAGGACCATTATCCAAATTAAACTAGTCCCACCTGCTTGCACTTGGCCCATTTACCTCTGAACATTTCTTATTCATGTATTTATCCAAATATCTTTTAAACATAACTGTACCTGCATCCACTATTTCCTCTGGAAGTTCATTCCACATGGTGTCAGAAATGGTGCCTTATAATCCCATAGATATGGAGGCTGGTGGAGTGGAAAGGTGAGAACTTGGGGATCCTATCATTGTTGTGGAAGGGGGAGGGAAGGTAAGTTTTCAAAACGATGAGGGGCATAGAATAGGAAGCAGTTAGAGGGATATGGGCCAAATGTGGGCAAATGGGACTAGACAAATTTAGGATTTCTGGTTGGCATTGACAACTCAATGAGAAATGGGACTTTAAAAAGGGGGTGAGGGACACACATTAATTGTGAAAAAACTCTGAAAAAGGGAAACAGAGTATTTCCCGTAATTGAAAATGCTTTTAAAAATATAGAATTATTTGTGAAAAAGTTAATATACACAGTGATCAGCCAAAAAGTCTTAAATCTTTAAAGCAATGCCTGATGTCTTTATATCCAAAATTAAAACAGCTCAACTCTAAGAACCTTCTTGAAGTGCTGCAAACAGACCCAACTAGCAAAAGCTCACTCGATCAGTCTGGCAATGTGGCCAATTTTAATGATCAGGGCTGGCTTCCAACAAAATGCTTTTCTTTTAATAAAAACTGGCACAAAAGATCACAAACTCAATTCATGCTGGAAGTACCTTGTGCTCAAACTTCAATATTTTACATTAGTTTTGCCAATTATAGACAAAGTATACTTGGAACAAAGTGTAACCTGGTGGCATTACTTTTTCCAATTGGTGATTGCATCAGAAATGATGCAGACACAATGCAATTTATATTTATCTACACAGTCCTCTAAATTGAATATTAGATAAAACACAATTACAGTAAACAATTGACATCTTAACAGCACGGAAAGAGTAGTCTATAATCATTAATTGCCTTCCCTAGGAAACCATGGCAGAATAAACTATAAAAGCAAAAGAAAGTTTCATAGTGAAGTCTAAGTTACAGAACCAACAATGAAATACCTTTAATGTCCCTGGTCCATCCTGGCCAGCTGGTTGAGTTGCTCCCCTACGTCTATCCATTTGGGCAGCAGTAGGATCACTATGTACAAGAATACAATTTACACAATTGTTTGAATGCTGAACAAAAAGGTTACAAGCATTTTTGTCAGTATTTGTAAATTGAAATACACAGAATATATTAATGGTCTGCTATTTTGTAACAGTGAAGGCCTTAAAATGTCATGTCTCAAAAGAATGCCCAATATGAAATTAACCTTCAGATAAATAAAGAATTATTTAGCACAATGAACAGGTGTTGATCAAATCATATTACCGCTATTCAATTACATATTTAACCAGGTTGGTGATTTTTCCCAGAAGGTACCTGGCAAAGTATAGCATACATTAAATACCTGAAGAAAGAGTATGTTAGCCAACCAAGTGGTCAATACCAGCAAAAAAACATAATTGAAGATTTTAACAGAAAGTGAGAATTTGACATGTACCTCATAATATTCATGAATAATGAGACATTCATGAAGTAATTAAAATTGGTTTGAATAACTGAATTATTTTTTAAAATTATGAAGTATATAGGAAAAGAGACCTTATGCTGTGGAATACATTGCAGCAGACAGCTCGGTAGAAACAGATTCGATTCAAAGGAAATTGGATAATAATTGCCTGAGAAAATTTATGCGGGGTTAGGAGGAAAAGCTAAGGGAATGTGGCTAGTTGAACAGCTCTTTTTATGAGCCAGATGGATACAAAAGGCCAAATGTCCTCCCTTCTGTGTTATAACCATTCTATGGTTCTAGCTTTAGGAGACATTTCTAAATTAACCTGTTCAGAGAGGTTATTACACGACTCTGAAGAAGGTGGGATTTGAACCTGGGCCTCCTAGTTAAGAGGTAGAGACACTACCACTGCCCAACAAGAGCCTATGATTCTAGTTTTATTGCAAAATTCTACATTGGGTTTAATATCTATGTGATCAAATAGACTGTGGAAGGAGGCACAAAGGTTACTTGACAGATAGAAAATTGTTCAATAGCAATTGGATAGATGTTAGTGAAGATACACTCAAAGTGAAACTTGCAACACCATAAATACTCGGTGGAGGTACTCTTTTTCGTTTTGGCGTGGTTCTGGGTTGCTACAGTGTGTTGTCGCTCGTTTAAATAGTGTTTACACACAACTTTTTTTGTGGGTGTTGGGGTGGTTACTGTCGAAATTAGGTACGTGGCCAGTATGTGTGGCTTTTCTGTGTACCTTCATCAGGAATTCCCTGTTGGCCCTGCGTTCTACCATAATGACCAGGAATGAGAGCTGTTTGTTCTTTTCCTCTTCCCTGGTGAATTTGATGTTGGTGAGAGTATTGTTTATTAGTTGATGTGCTTCCTCTGGTTTGGTCCATTTAATGACCAAAGTGTTGTCCACTTATCTGATCCATAGTTTGGATTGGATTCACAGAAGGGCCATGCTTTGGAGTCTCTGCATCACCGCTTCTGCTATTAGTCCGGAGGTTGGTGACCCCATGAGTGTCCACTGATCTGCTCATGGATTTGGGCATTAAAGGTAAAGTGGGTCGTGAGGCATAGGTCCCAAGACTATGTGAAATTTTCAATTGATGGCAGTTAAGGGTATACAAATCCCCAAATGTCTTCAAGATAATTGTTCTTACTTTTCTTTCAATAAAATTCTCCTATGTGATACGTTATTATTCTTGAACATTACCAAACGATACTTAATTCCCAGAAGTTAGTAAGTATACAATGCAGTGTCATGGGCACCCAAGAATCCCCATGGATCAACTGAATGGGTACTAGAGAGAGTTCCCACGAATGGAAATACTTTGGTGAGAAAAATATTTGTTTTTCTATACAAAACATTCAAGGCCATATTATACACCTTTGCTTTTGCACACCACTCCACCCAAGAAATTTATACATCCAGCTCCACATTTATAAACTTTTATTTACATGTTTAAATTTAAAGAGTCAGGATTTAAGAAACAAGATATTTTCTGACTGAAATCACAAATCATTACCTTCCAACTGAAAAGGGAATTTAGGAAAATATATTTCTTACTTGAAACTTACTGCCTTAGAGGGTACTGGGAGCAAAGACAATTGACGTTTTTAGAATGAAACAGGATAGGTACTTGAGAAATAAAACTCCTTTAAAAGGAACATCTGAAAAGCTACCAATTTAACTAAACATTAACCCAAGGATGATTTTCATTGGGTCAATATCCATCCTTGTGTCACATCTTCAAAACCATCTTGGGAAAATTTTCCATGCTCAATATGCTCTATAAAGATTAGTTGTTGCTGAGATGTACAGTAAACTTAAACCGAAGATAATACAACCTGCACAACTGATAACCATTTATTTCAGTTGCTTGGCAGTTAACATGATTAAAAGCTATTAGCCGTGTTGTTATTCTGTGGATCAAATAAATAAGCTTAAGACTGAACCCGAGTGGTAAATTATTTTCTCCTTCTGTGCCTCAAAGTATGAGGGTAGGAAATCCACATCATTGGAATTCAAATACAGTGTGCAAACCATTCCTTCAAAGCTGTACATGACAAATGTACCAACAGATTTACAGAGATCTCTTGCAGTTTGAACAAGACAAGCAAAATAATTTCCCTACTTTTAAAGGCCACAGAATGCTTCACAAGTGAAAAATGTTCTGGATTAAAATGACCACAAAAACAAAATCAAAGAACAATTTTTAACATATACACAGGTCACTTTTCCAATAGAATTACCTCAGAGCCACAATCTTTATTGTGCGGCATTGCAAAAGTCTTCATTCACAGGCCAAATGTTTGTTCCTGTTTTATAGCAAAGAACTTTGCTTTCCACAATAGATTAATGTGCTCTTAGTACTATAGCTCTGTGAAAGTGCTGTTTAATTCTGTATTTGTGCAAGGGCAGCATATCAAAAGCGAGACAAGAAAAGGATTGTCATACTTCACTCTTTATGCAATCGCTTAAACTAATTGTGTTGCAGGTCACATTTGTGGTATAAACGTGGAACAATCTGGTTTAGCTATTGTTTTAGTCTTCCAGGTGGTTGAGACATTCTGAGATCCGCACAGCATTCAGGTGGATTCGGCAGAGGATGCCTTGGAAAGACTAAATATCTGTTTGAGTATGGAGTGATCTAACTTGAAATTAATCTCAAGATAAGTATGGTTAAATGATTTAAGAAAAAAAAAAATCGAGTTTTGTAAAACTTGAAAGGCAAGAACAGGGATTTTCAAAGTTTGGATTCTAAATGCTTTTCTGTCTATTTTCTACAATTAAAGACAAGGCCAACTCAAACTGTATTGCCTGTTTGGGTGAATAGTTCAATAATATAAAATAGAGGCAGTCACACAAGAATAGACATTTAGGAGAGATATCAGAGAAACACAATCAGCTGTCAAACTATACCCTAACATTTGCGACGCATAGTGATGCCAAAAGCATGGCATCAACTCCCACACCAGCTCAGATTACCATGAAGGGCTTTCCTTCTCAACCTCCCTCCTCACCTGAGGCATGATGACCTTCAGGTTAAACCACCACCAGTCATCTCTAACAAGGTCTGCCCTATGGTCTAGTCGGCTATGGCAATTTTAGCTTTACAACCTTGGAGAATTTTTTTAAAAAAAAAACGAATAGATATAAGCTGATGGAAATGCCAGTTGTGATTTTTCTCCAGTTCTGACAAATTCAAAATGGTGTGTGAAATACACAGCTCTAATCAAAACAATAGACCAATCAGGAAGATACATGTCCTGTTCAATAATACAGGTTACTGAAGAGGCTTTGCATGCAGAGATACCTAAAGTGGAGTTCTTCATGAGCACTTTGTATGAAAAGTGAAATTAACACCAGAAGCCAATATTCCGTTACCAAGTCACCCTTTATTTACATGTGCATAGTACTTGACACTGGTCTGGCTTGCTCAGAGCCAGCTCTCAGAATGAGTAGAACCACTGATAGTCCTGGTTATATCTGTTAGCTAGGGCTCCCTGATTGGGGCTGTTAACCTGGTCCAATCAGGGCACTCATATTCTATGGAGGTCCATGTGGCTGACCTCATTACAATCACTACAAGAGGATATGCATAAATTGGTCCTTCTCATGTTGGCAAGATACAACGATCATTGGGTCACAGGGGCCAGGGGCTGAACTTTTTATAAGTTATATAAATTAATTGGATAAAAGGTACCATATGTATGGTTGCAGAATTTGAGGCTGTTAACCTGATCCAATCAAGGATCTCATACCAGGAAATCCATTTGGCTGACCTCATTACAATCACTACATCCCTTCCCCTCTAAGTCCAGGAACATAGCCTGGTCTTTTACTTGTAGCCTCTTACGGAGCGTTTTTGTACCAGGTCCGGTTCCTCCGACTCATCCTGGGATACAGGCAGTGTGTATAAGATCATAGCTCACCTCTTGCGTGTGGTGCATCTCAGAAGAAATTCATCCTCTTCTTCAGGTGGCAAAGGCACAGAGGTTGCAAAATTCACCCCATCTCTCACAGCCTCCGGAGGTTTCTCCGACATTAGATGGATGGGGAGAGCCCGAGTTCCAACAGCCTTTCCAGCTGTTCTGAGGGGCAAGGAATCTTTTGCTCCTACCCCCTATGTATGTTTGCAGCTTTCATGTGGTGTACAAAGTTCGGCTAAGTAAGGCACTCCTCAACCTGGACCACAAGACCTGACCTCACATCGACCACGCCTCTTACTTATACAGGGCTATTTCTGTAGTTTCGGCACCAAACTGTCTCTCTTACTTAGGGGACCTTATGTCTGGCATTGACGTTCCAGATGTTGTTGTTTCACCCCAACCCCATCCCAGTCTGGGATGAACAGATTTAACCTAGTGCGGAGTCTTCTCCCCATTAGCAACTCTGCTAGATCTGGCCCTGTACTTAAGGGGTGGTCCGATAATTAAACAGGAACCGGGAGAAGTTTGCTATCAAGTGAAGCTACAGGCCGTTTCTTTAAGCCCACCTTCAAAGTTTGGTCTGCTCTGGCAGACCACTGGATGATGGATGATAGGGAGCCATGCTTGTATGTCAAATAGCATT